AGGTTACTCTGTCCCTGGCGCCTGCGCCTATGGTCTCCACAGCCCCAGAAGGAGATGGGCAGGAACAAGAGGCAGATGAAAGATAGAGAAGTGGGTAGGGTTTTGCAACTCCTTTATGTGTAAGCAGCTGTAGATTTGTTTGGAGGCGGCTGGTTCGTTGCAACAGACTGGCCTTGCCTTTCAGTAGGATGTCCTGCCATGCAGCTAACATCTGTGTCCTGTGCCGTTTGGAAGACTATAAATACTTCTTGGGGGGGAAAAGCCATAAATTGGCCATGCAGTTGGGCTGTTTAGTTCTATTTGCATTGGCATTTCAATCACACTTAGGGAAAGACTTCTATTTCTATGAACACACAATTTCACATGCCATTACCCTTAAAAGCACTCTTGAAAATATAGCCCTATATGTTTAGCTCTCTTAACCATTCCTTGTAAGTTATATTTTGCAAGATTTTTAGTATTTTAGCCATCCTTTCCTGACCTCTCTGAATCATCACTATATTTCCTGTAGCAGTGTGCAAACCTTGTGTCGTATGCCATGTACAGGCTCACTTACCGACTTAATTTTACATTCTCTTCTATTTGGTTCCTATGCTGTGTCCATTACTGTAGTGTCTTTCTCTGTTAAACTTCTGTTTATATAACATAATATTGACCTCAATCCTGCTGCATTTATTCATGTGAATAGTCCCACTGGTTTCAATGGGACTATACAGCTACTTGTATGAGTGAGAACTGCAAGATTGGGCTCAATACTGTGTTGTTTGCTTGGGGTTTGTTCTGTTTGCTTTTGTTCGTGTGGGGTTTGGGGGTTTGTTTGTTTTTTGTAAAATATAACTCTTCCCTTTCCATTTTCCATCTACTATACCACCCATATGTCATTTTTCTGCAGTATTACCAATGAACCAATGTTCTCCTATTCTGTACTTGTGTTTCCTAATTTTTGCTCTGTCTCTAAGACTACTTTGTATTTATCCTCATTGAATTGCATTTTTTTCCAACCTACTCATCACTCTCACTTTTCAAGATCTTGTTGCATTTTCTCCTCAGAAGCATTTACCCTTCCCCGCATCCTGCTTTTTAAAAAATCACTCCCCAATTTGACCATTTATTTACTCTTTCATCCAGGCCATGAGTCAAAATATTAAATACTGTCTGTGGGATTCTAGCAGATATTTCTCTCTGCTACTGCAGCTGGAACCAGAATCCCCACTAGCCATAGATGCAGCAATGCACTAGTGATGGATCCTCTGTAGGATACCAGAAGGCATTGAACCATCAATAATCACACTGAGCTTGTTTTTTTCTAATCAGTTTTGTACTCACCTTATGGTAGTTCTGCCAGTTCACATTTCTTCAGTTTTCCTTCAGGAATATTTTGTCACTGTGTCACAGGAAACAATAGACCTTTAGATTTGGGCGACAGCCCCAAGCAAAGAATGGTGTATAACATGCACCACCCAGGAGTAGCCCCCGGAGTCAGTATGACTCAGAGACACACCTCAGAGTCACTATTATTATTATTGTTGTTATTATTTATTTTATTTATATTACTGTAGTACCAAAGAGCCCTGGTCATGGACAGACACCCCATTCTTTCCTGTCTGCCTCCTTGTTATAGAGCAGTGAGAATTTGCTGATGGCCTATATCAAGAGTAAATTATGACCTCCACCTTTGTGCTGGCTCCAGTGCACTGGCCAGCTGTTAGGGAGATGGCCCCAGGTTCTAATCTTCTATTCTGGGGAGGAATAACTAACTCCTACTCCCCAGACTCCAGGTCTTGTAACCCACATAGGGATGTAAGAGAAGTTTGTACTCCTCCTTATTGCCTTGTGTGAGTGTATTGTGCAATTCATACCTAATTCTTTTACGAAGAAGCCCATTTAGTAATACTTTGCATGCACCAAACTAAATTGACTTCAGTGGTGCTGTGCCTGCATCTACCAGCCTTGAATTTGGCCTGTTGTATATTTAGTTTGCTTATTATATGCATATATGTGTAAATAGTGAAGAAATGGTTTAATGTAAGCAGTAATTTCTGGTAGCAGATGCTTTTGCAGTTTTCAGATATTTTCTAAATCTTTCTGTGGCTGTTTGTCAGCCATTTGGACCATATTCTGTTAGGCCTGAGAAATCTGGAAAAGTTCAACTAAAATTCAGAAGTTCAGAATCTCCGACAAATATGTTGTACACCCAAACTCCTATAGTATCTTTATAATTAATATTATATTATGTTTATATTTATTACACATGCAATCTCTAGCATTTTATGCTATGATGTTATGAGTAGGGCCCTATCAAATTCACGGCCATGAAAAACGCGTCACAGACTGTGAAATGTGATCTCCCCCCGTGAAATCTGGTCTTTTGTGTGCTTTTACCCTATACTATACAGATTTCACGGGGGAGACCAGCGTTTCTCAAACTGGGGGTCCTGATCCAAAAGGGAGTTGCAGGGGGGGTCGTAAGGTTATTTTACTTCTGCACTGCCTTCAGAGCTGGACAGTCAGAGAGCGGTGGCTGTTGGCCAGGTGCCTAGCTTTGAAGGCAACACCCCACCATCAGCAGCACAGAAGTAAGGGTGGCAATATCATACCATGCAACTCTTACTTCTGCGCTTCTGCCTTCGGAGATGGGTGGCCGGAGAATGGCGGCTGCTGATTGAGGGCCCAGCTCTGAAGGCAGCAGCATAGAAGTAAGGGTGGCAATACCATATCACGCCATCCTTACTTCTGCGTTGCTGCTGGTGGCGGCTCTGCCTTCAGAACTGGACTCCCAGCCAGCAGCCCAACTCTGAAGGCAGTGCCACCGCCAGCAGCAGCGCAGAAGTAAGGGTAACAGTACCGCCACCCCCCCACAGTAACCTCGTGACCACCCTACAACTCCTTTTTGGGTCAGAACCCCTACAATTACAACATCGTGAAATTTCAGATTTAAATAGCTGAAATCATGACATTTACAATTTTTAAAATCCTATGACCGTGAAATTGACCAAAATGGACCGTGAATTTGGTAGGGCCCTTGTTAGGAGTAACAAATGCAGCTGTAGTTTAGGTGCCAAACATGTGGCATACTGTGTGAACTAGTAAAGCAGTGATTGCTCCCAGGTCTCTCAGTGTCATTGACCTGAGTCCTGCATGTTTGTGCTTTTTAAAATTGGCTCCAACTATTGTGCAAAGACAGTATTATTATGGATTTGCTTTTTAACCTGTGTTGTAGGCACATTATTCCGGGAGAATCTGTTATTGCCATTACTGGATATGTTCTGTGATTGTGTGCTGTGCAGTCAGCTTACAAATTCATTGTTGTGATAAAGTTTCATCCTTGTGCCAATGAGTAATGATGGAACTGTCCAGTGCTTATTTTGTCTGCGTCCATTTTTTAGTTCTATGTAGATGTCCTAAAATCGGGGGTTTTATGGGGCTTTCTCTTTGTAGAGACCTTAATGAGTAATCTCTTTGTAATGTTCTCTAGGGTGTTTTACTGTTGTACAGTTTCAAACAGCACTACATTAAAACACATTAGGGAACCTTTAGTGGGCACCAGCAGGGTCTACACAGACCAATTAATGAGCAACACGTTAGTGCGCTTTAGAAATCACATCCCCATAGTCAGCATTACTGCTCTGTGTAGATGAGCCCTTAGATACAAGTAACCATTTCTGTTGTTTTTGGTGGGGTTTTTTTGTAAAAACACTGATTTAATTTTTTTGGGGGGGAAGGAGGATGGGTGTAGGTGTTTATCAATTAAAACCTAAAATCAAAAACCCTAATCATATATTATGTAGAGGTATACATTCTCTATTATATTATTCTATAATCTATACGATGAAAATTGTTATATAGATGCCAAAGATTTATTATCACTTTTATTTGATATTTATTAAGTAATTTATTAGAATAAAAATACTCCTAGATCTACATTTGGCATTTTCCCTTTTGATCCTTATTTAGACTCTCTGTTCCCAATTACTCCATTCCTTACTGACTTGCTGTTAGTGGAAGGCTTTAGAACTCAAGTGGTGCTGTCCCTTACAACTATACAGCAGAATACAGGCCAGAGTGCTGAGAAATTGGACTCCACACCCCACCCCTTCCCAAACACGTATCAGCATGAAAGAAAAATGCGTCTGTTCCTTAACAAGATGTGGCTGAGTTGTGTAAGAATCAGATTTGAAATGCCTGTCCTCTCTGGATCTGCAGCTTCAAATCCTGACTGGATAGACCCAGGCCTTCATCCTTCTGAAGTAGATACACTGAGCTCCCCACAGTTTGCTGCTTGAGGATCTTTTGAATAAGACCGTAGAAACTGATGTCTTAACTACTCGGAGTGAACATTGAAGATTCCATGGCACTGCTTGTAAGGGTGGGAAGTTTGTCCTGGTTACCTGGCCAAAATTGCTGTCCTCCTCTTCTGGTGTGCAGTGTGCTGAGCACTGGTTGTCCTCGAGCTGCCACCTTCTGCCCTGGAAGGGGTTATCTTTTAGCAGAGCTGAATTCATATCATTTGTGAAGCCTTTGGAATGATACTTTATTCTTTTTGTTTAAGCATCTATGATTAAAGGCCATCTCCACCCGGGCCAGACTCAAAGTCCACTGAAGTTGATGGGAATTTTGCAGGGATCACAAGGTTTGGACTGTTCCCCTGGTGAGGAGAACTAATGTGCAGTGAGAACAATATACCTGGTTTCTCCTAACACACATAAGTAGGAGAAAATAGAAAAGATGGACTAAAAGCTACCTTTCACCACTGACTTAAAGTAAACAACATGAACAATAAAAGGCATTAACTTGCATTAGCATTTCACATCCAGCGCTTCAGTGCTGCAGCTGGTTCAAAGGAATATCAAGAGGGCAAGAGGGTGACAGTGTGAGAGTGGTGGTGCAGGGGGAGGGGGGAGACCTGCATCATTCAACGGTAAAGTGAAACAGTGATGCCATAAATGATGATGTCTGTCCTCTGATTGTCCTCTGATGTAGCTATTTCTCACAATTCGCAGAATCGACGACTGCTTCTGTGCTTCTCGAAAACTGGACGCGGTAGCCACAGAAGCTAAATTCAAGCAGGATCTGGGATTCCGAATGCTGAACTGCGGCCGAACGGATCTAGTTAAACAGGCCATATCTTTGCTGGGGCCAGATGGAATTAACAGCATGAGTGAACAGGTACAAAATTTAACTTTAGAAGCCAGGAGTTGTGTCTCTTTATTAAAGAAAACAACCTTCCAACACTCTAACTTCATAAACAGGTGGCTCTTAACTTAATTCTTTTTCTCTGTTACTTGATATTGAACTAAGACTCCATCAGGTGTACATTCAGGCTAAGCTTGGGCCCTTAGGAATTATGGATTATTTTCTTTAATGTTGAGGTAGATATAGCACATCAGTTGGCTTAAACTTTTTAAATTACATTGATTCAGGAGAAACTATCAAAAGGTCATAGGAGTGCCTGGAGTTGATCTGAATACAGAGTTGACCCTGGCTTGGGCATAATAGTGGCAATTAGGATGCTGTTTTTTGTGATGTGGACATCTTTCCAATACAAACTGGTCTGAGGTTCGCAACGCATTTCACATAGACCACCAAACCCCTGTCAAGTGAGTGTTAATAATGTTCATGTGCATTTTGAAATAGGCCCCAATTTGAACTGGTGATCTGGAGACAGAAATCTCCATATTTCATTACTGTTTAGTCATCTTATCTTTTGGGTGGTGACTTACAGATAACATGGGAAATACTAAGGATTACTACAACAAAAGGGAAGTCTCTGTAAAGTGTACAGCTTTATCCAGAAGTAAATTTGCCTCCATAACTGCCCACCAGTGGAAACTTTGTATTGTGAAGCTCATGAAGTTGTTCCCAATTCCCAAGCAGGAAATATTGACACTTTAGCAGCCATGTACAATGCTTCATCCTTTTGAAGTAGAGTTCCATGTAGTTTATTGTGGGTGGATCTTTATTATAAGACCTTAAAAATTGAGGTTCCCATCTGCTCTGCAAAAATATTAAAGATTCTGGTGTCCTTAGCCAAAAGTTTCCATTTTGCTTCCAGTTCTGCAGTACACTGTTTGGCAGGGGGCAGCCAGCTTCCACCCCACAGATGGCTGCATTTGACCAGTGCTGTATGAATATAATTGTAAAGTGCTTTGGGATGAGAGGTGCTATAGAAATGTAAAATATTAGAATCAGAGACATATAAAGCTAGAAGGGACCTCAAGAGATGATCTAGCCCACCACCCCACCCTTAGGCAGGATTAGGTACACCTAGAAGATCCCTGATGGGTGACAGTTCTAATAGCTTTAGTTTGATAGAACACTGACCTATAACATTAATTAGTTAATGTTGATAAAGTGCTTTGTAAGTGTGAAGTACTCTGTAAGTACTAAGTATTACTGTTATTTTTATATCATGGAGTTCATTCCATGGTTAGTGTGTTATAGTACTTTTAAATGATTATTCTTTTAAATAATTCTACACCTTGAAACTTTTCATAGAAAAATTGCTATGCTCCAGTCCTGCAAAGTGCTGCTCCATATGGCCTGATCCATCAAAGCACTTAATCATGTGCTTAATTTTAAAGTGATGCTTATGTCCCATTTGACTTAAACAAGTGCTTCAATGCTTTGCCAGATCAGGCCAAATGAGTCTGCATCTTGCAGGACTGAGCTGCCAATGATTTGAATATTGAAAGAACAACTTTTTCATGTTGCCAAAAACCAAATTCCCTGTGTGCTAATTGCATGTGTTATTTATTATTTGTTGAGCACTAATTATGTGCTCATTAAAAATCCATTCCTCCCACATACGAAGTGAGAGGTCTCATGCACTGATACAGAGCAAGCCTGAGCTACAGAGCAAACCTCCAGGATGGGCATATGTAAAAACAGCAGTGAGAAGAACCGCAGAACGGGGCTGAGCAGAATCTCAAATTAACTTTTAGGCCCCCATCCTGCAATGTATAGGGTGAAATGTTGGTCCCATTTTAATCAGTGGCAAAACTCCAGTTGTCTTCAATGGGTCCAGATTTCACTTGTAGTGTGCAGGACTGCTGGGCTCAGACAGAGCCCGATTCAAGTCAGCAGCTGGTGCAGCAGTCTGTGTGTGTGCTATGTCTTGCAGGATCGGGTCCACATTTGTTTTGTTAATCCTTTTCTGTAAAATTTTAACTTTACATTTGATTTGCTCCTTGTGTTAAGTATTTATTCTTTTAAATTATGTTTTTTTAACTTATGTTCTAAAAATTATCCCGTTACCAACATTCAACGCTTGCATACAGTTTTTGTGAGACATAGGGCCTGATCCTATACAGCTTACTATTGGCCTGAATATAGACCCCTGATGTCCAAGGGGACTTTTACTGTTGTCTGCAATAGGAGCAAGATCAAGTCCCATTTGAGTGTGAGCTGTATTCACCCAAGTACTCTTGTTGACTTTAGTGCAGCTGCCAGACAGAATCAGGATTATTCATATGAGTAATGGGATCAGGACCCCCATTTCTACACTTATTAATAATTATATATATATATATATATATATATATATATAAAGCACACCTTTCTCAACAGCAAATCAGGGACTTGATCCTGCTAAATGCCCACTGATTACGGTGGGCACTGAAGATGCTCATCACCTCTCAGCATCAGGCCCGACTTTTTATTTTTACTAAAAGACACCTGCCCCCAAAACCCACCAAACCTTAGCCTGGAAAAAGAGGCTTTTTCCCCTCAAGGAAAATGTAAATAACGTTTAATTCAGCAAAAATGCTGGTGCTCAGCTCTTGCTAGAGAGAACAGTGCAGTGGCTCAGTTTCTGCCCATTCTGTCCACCTCATTTGTCTCTGTTAATAATTTTGCTCTACAGCAAGCGACAGGTTAAGCAGAAAGTGTGTGATCATGTGACAGGACATTTACATGGGATCATAAGACAGACAATAGACATGTAGTAGAGGTACCATGGTCCAGTGGTAAACTTCCCATGGAACAAACACACTCTTGATTGACCCTCCCCCGCTTTTATTTAATAAATAGCTTTTTGTGTTGTAATTTTGATAGATTTAATTATACCTTCATGATTTCATCTAGACTTATTTCCATTGCCAAAATAACACTAACCTTAAGGGAAATGTTGATCAGCTGCAGTGGGTATTCTAGACTAATACAAATTGCAGTCTGGAGTTTCTGTAGTGAAGGGTCAGCTAATCTAGTTTTCATCAACATAGGGCAGCATATCCCTAGAGCTAACAACTTTAAACAATGCTGTCTCGCATTTCATTTAAAATTAAGTCATTGTTTAGGACTATGTACAAAGCTTCTAGGTTTCCAACCGCTAACAATGCTGACAGTGAATAGACAGAGCTCGAGTCTAACTTATCTAAAGGGAGTTCATTATGTTGTTAAAGGGATATTATAAAGAAGTATAGACTCAACTTTTAGGTTTTATAAAACAAGAGTTACAAAAACCTTAATAGGAATGGAAATGTTTTCATTTGTTATTTTTTAACTGCATTGGAAATCTTATTGCTTTGGATTTAAACATTCCCCTACTATTGGGATACCAAGGACAAAATTGTTCTTTATTTAGTATACAAGAACTAGGAAATGAAACTGACAAATCTGATTTCATTGTGCTGAGTAAAACGCAGAAAGGAAAAACATACATGATGACAGTAACGTAGATTTTTTAAATGTTCAGCTGTTAATAATATTAAAGGGTTGTTTGTAACAGAGGTAAGGTTTTGTTAAATATTTAGTGTTTATCTTGACAATATACATTTAAAGCACTAACTCTTTTTTTAAAAGATTCCATTGTAAATTTGTCAATTCCTTTGTTTTTTTGTTTTTGTTTTGTAAATTCCAAACAATGAATAGGGCATGACTCCACTGATGTATGCTTGTGTCAGGGGTGATGAGGCTATGGTGCAGATGCTACTAGATGCTGGAGCAGATTTGAATGTTGAGGTGAGGACATTTTATTATGATTACAACTTTGATTTCTTTATTTGTTTATATCTCACACAGCCCATTACAATTATAGCAGAGGAGGGAAACCCCAAGGCATTTAAAAATAAAATTCTGTTACCAAAGGCATTAACATTTGAAATGAATATTGAAATGATCACAGCACTTATCAGGGCAGCTCAGTATTGGGATCCATTGCACTTAAAGGGTCAGTTTGTCAGTGATTTAAACCCAATGTAATAGTATTGATTTCACTGGAATTGCATAGTGTAATTTAGCATAGAATGTAGCCCCGGAACTTTAAATGTAAGCTGCTGGTTCAGGAGTCACAATTTTAATGAAAAGGATGGGACTTCCTGAATCACAGATGAGTTAATCGGTCGAGGCGGCACACTGTTCAAATGCCCCTGCCCAAGTTTGAGAACTTTTATACATTGAGATGTCCATCTACTGCCCAACAGCACACGAGTGGTAGAAGGTACATTGTTGTGTTTTATAAAATGGCTTTGATGAAAGCTGGTGGATGAAGGGGGCTTCCAACATGTAAATATCTCTTGGTGAATGTATGTAACAAACATACAATCTGTCCACCAAAGAGATTGTTATGCCACTCCATGCAACACGGGTATGTACGTTTTTAAAGAGCCATTTAAAATACATGACGAATTATTTGTTATGTTTGCAAATACTTATCATTTCAGTTTGTTGAGGTCATGAATAAATTAAACTGTCTGATTCATTTATCTGTGTTCCATCCATTCTGTTTGGATTTAGGAAAGCTGTCATTAAAGTGTAATTGCTACTTTCAATGAGACATTTTACTTTTTGTTTGTTTGTTTGTTTTAATGTAATTGGAAAAAGGACAATGGATGGTTTGGGGACTTAGGGGCAGGACACAATTTTTCACCTGTAAGTCACCACTTTGAATCCACTCAGGTCAATAGAGACTGACAGTCGTTACTATCTAATTGCTGTTCGGTGGCTTATGTGAAATCAATTGTTGATTTCAGCTCAGTTCAGTTCCTAGTGGAACAAAAAAAACAACAACCAAAGAACAAAAAAATCAACCATCAGTAGGCAAAAATTATCCCCCTTCATAGCAGTCACAGTAAAGAGGCCAAAGATTTGACAGGCGTGGAGACTGACCTATCCTGCAACCCAGGGTGTCAAACACTGGCCTTCTGAGTTGATCTCTTATTTTCTGACCCCTGTTAACAAATTCAGATTCTGCAGAATGCAAGCTTTCATTACAAATAAAAGGGGAGTTCAGTTCTTGTGGCTGTGTAAATAACCTTCTAAACTTGTACTAGATGTAAATTTAAGCAGTATTGTGTTCCTGAGTCTGAAGACAACCTGAACCAATAGCTTTTAGAGGGATGTGAACCTCCCTGGTTGATCTCAAAGGAAAGTTCTCACTAAAATCAAATCATGACACTTCCGTAGCAGGATATTCAAATAATTAAGGTGTGCAGTTATACAGCTAATTTGTATATACAATTACAACAGTGGTGTGTGCAAATTGGGTGATTACATGAAGATAGGCCAAATAAACAAAGGGTGAAATAAATGTTTCCCCGCTTTGCTTTGCTAAATAAAAGTTTTGGCCCAAATTTCCAAAAGTGACCTCTAATTCAGGATGTTTCCGCTCTCGAATGCCCCCCAAGTTTAGATTCCAGGGACTTATTCCTGATATGCTGAATACCTAAAACTCACATTGAAGTCAGTAAGAGGCATGGTTGTATTTACCAAATGTCAATGTCAGGCCTTAGACAGCCACTCAGTGTTGACCTAACTCTACTCCCGTTAAAGTCAGTGGTAAAACTCTCACTGAAGTCAATGGGAGCAGAGTTAACCCCATGGTAAGTGCTTTTGAAAAGCCCAACCTAGGTATCTTAAAAAAAATAAAGGCACCCAAATGTAGAGGATGTTCTAGAAAATCTCGGCCTTAGTGTCTACATAAGGGCATATTTTAGTCTTATTTTTCAGTGAGAACTCTGCTGTAGATTGAGGGTAGCACATGAGTCTAAATTTGTAGACAGGGCTCACGGATCATAATTGAAGATTTAATTTGGCTCTGTCCACAGAATGAATTTGACTCCCCTGCTCTAATCCCTAGAGGGGTGCTTGCCTGTGCTGTACTTGTTTTGTAGAAAATTAGAGGACTTTAGTCTCCAGGGTTGTCAATCCCACTCTATTCACAAGCACTAAATTCACTAAAAAGAATTAAAATTTTAAAAATGAAATAAAATAAAATGTTAATACTTGCATTTCCTCAGTGTATGCCACTGGGAGTTCCCTGAGCTTTCCTGTGCCAGTACCAATCCACGTGAGATGGGACGTAATTAGCTGGTACATGGTTACGTTTGGGGACTAGTTTATCCTGAATCAAGCCTATTCATTCACTCCCTCCACTGCTGGGCTGGAGCTGCTTGACCCCATTCATTACACAGTGCTCCCAGGTTCTGAGAAGTCACAGGCCTAAGTTTAGACTTCAGCACATTTCTTCTGGTGTTAGAGCTCTGTGTGTGCAGAGCAGAGCAAAGTGATTTCAGGAACTGAAGGTGTCTCTTTGGCAGGGGTGGATGACACAGCCAACTGTCTCATGCAGCCCTCCTCAGCTGGCACACCAGGATTGACACACCAGCTACTCCCTCTCTGCCCTCGCCCCTGATGTTAACCCTGGGGATGGCTAGCAGGACGTTATGTCAGAAGCTTGGCTTGGCCCTGTTGGCTGCTAATGCAGCCAAGCATCTGACGCTGAGCTAATGGGCCCTGCTATCCTATGGACATAAGATGGTGAATGTAAAACTCCCTGCCTTTCACCGGGTGGCTGGCCAATGCTTCGTTCAGTCCAGCTTCAGTTCTTCTACCAGTGCTATCTTCCCATGGATGAATAATCATAATAATTAATTTATACTTTGCACTTCAGTATCATGCTCCATCCAAGGATCTCAAAGTGCTTTATAACCTTTCATTAAATGTTACTATCCCTGTGAGTTACATCATATTAAAGATGGGGAAACTGAGGCACGGAGCAATTACATCGGTTGCCCGAGGTCAAGATTAGAGGCTTTAGATATTGATGGTTTGTGGGAGGAAGGACTGGTGTGAAAATGAAAGGTTTTTTGTTTAAAGAAAATAGTTTTTAGTTATTTTGGGCCCAGCACACCTTTAGATTTAACTAGAAGGGGAGAAAGTAGTAAATGGATTTTTTAAAATATCTTCTAAATGGTGCTAAGCTCCATCCATTTTAAACAGTCTTCTGCTTCCAGTCAAGGAGCAGCAACATGGGTTACATGTCTTTAAACTTGAGACCAGGGTTGAAATCCTGGCCCTATTGAAGTCAGTGGCAAAACTCCCATTGATTTCAGTAGAGTCAGGTTTTCACTCCAGGATTTTTGAGAAACTCAGAATGCTGTGAAGCAATCCCAGGAGCAGGGAAGAATGAATGGGCATAATACAAAGCCCACTGAAGTCAATAGGAAATGTCCCTAAATGTAACCATCCTGACAGAGCCCCCCTCCCATCTCCACCTCCTCAGTGAACGTTGGTATAAGCACTAGTGCAAATTTTGACTCTGTAAAAGTTGCTGGGGGGCAGTGATTTAGAGGGAGCAACAGCAGTTGGAAAAGAGACTTTATTTGCTATGAGCTTTAATCAAGCTCTCAGTAAACAGCATAAAAAATTCTAGTGGAAGTAAATTCTTCATAAGTAAAAACTCTGCTGGAAAAAATATATAGAACCAACCATTTTATAAAGTGGTCTTTCTGATTTTTTTTTCTCTATCACTTATACCCATGTGCCCAGCTTTCAGGCAGGTTGAGTTTTATTATTTAAAGCTCTTTGAAGGCCATTTCAAAAGAAAATAACTTTAATTTGTTTATAGGTTGTCAGTACTGCTCATAAATATCCATCCGTCCACCCCGAGACCCGCCATTGGACAGCTCTGACATTTGCTGTGTTGCATGGACATATTCCTGTAGTTCAGGTATTACTGTATTTCCCTACCTGCATCTCACTTTTTATTTATCCAGTTGGGTTATAATCTGCATCCATCTCAAGACTGGTACCCCTCTCATATTCATATTGGTTACTTCTTCTATCATTTACTGATACGATATAGTGATCTCTCCCTCCCTCATAAACCAATATGAGGTTTAAATAGGACAGTTTTAAAGTACAGTTGCATCAAAGAAAGTCTGTCAACGCCTCGTGCTCCTTTCTGACCATTCATTGTATGTGTTTGTTTATTCATTCATTACACTTTCTTATCACATGTATTATAATACTCTAATAAATGCAAATATTGTTATTTCTGGAAAAAAAAACCCTCTGATCTGTTCCATAGTCAGAGGAGTGCTCAGTCACTTTATCCAGCCATGAAAAAACGTGAATATGTTGGCTCTGTGGTATGGCATATCAAGCGTTAAGATAGATTATTTTTCAAAGTAATTGTGTCGACATGGCACAATTAATGAATCACCAGACAAGGGAGATCTAGGGTAGGGATGGCCAAAGGCAGGTTGAATGTGTCCCCTCAGATTCTGTAGTGCTGTTGATGTCCACGGTCATCTTTAATAATAATAATGAAATAGAAATGTACCCCAGGAGACTGCAGGTTCCAGCATGCATTGCTACAACTTGTTCCTGAAACCCTCTTGTCTCTTCTGGAAACATCTCTCTATTAAAGATGGGGACAACTGAAATCTCATCCATTTTATTAAAAGTGCGTGTCTCTCTAGGGCTCCAGGCAAGTTGTCAGTGAGGCTGTCGGTTGGGCCAAGTTTGAGTGCCTCAATCTAGTGCATTACTTCACACCACTGATCTTAGGCCCAGGTCAGGAACATTGGATAATACTTGTTTGGCTTTGGAATATTCACTAATGCTCTAGGAGTCTGACAGTGTATCATGAGTGAAAAAGAACTAATTGAATAATAGAAGCAAAATGTGTATGTCACTTGTCTTCACTGCATCTGATGTGTGGATAATGAGAAATATTAGACTCCAGTTCCTCGCTATTCATAAACTCTGAATTCTACGATGTCACCAACAACTCTAAATGGTCAATTTTCTTTATAGCTATTGCTGGATGCTGGAGCAAAGGTAGAAGGTTCTTTAGAGCAAGGAGAGGAAAATTACTCGGAAACTCCTTTGCAACTGGCAGCAGCTGCTGGTAAGGACTCTCCTCCTGCTGGAATAAACTCTTCAATTGGGAAATGTGACTTAGTTGCAAAAATCTTGGGGACTTTAAACAAATTAAAATCTCTCTTGGTGTACAGGAAATTTTGAACTGGTGACTTTGCTGTTGGAGCGAGGTGCTGACCCCATGATAGGAACAATGTACAGAAATGGAATTTCCATGACTCCACAAGGTGACATGAACTCTTTCAGTCAGGCTGCTGCACATGGACACAGGTAGAGTGGGAATGGGTCTAGTTGCATGGGTCAAGTGGTTATGGTTTACCTGGGAGGCTGATGTGTGTGGACTGATGTATAATCCTCAGTGTTAAAGTAGAATCCTGCTGCACACGTGTGGACTGTATGACAATCAGATGTGCTCCTTTTTTGGTATAGGAGATTTGAGATTGGATTTAGGGATTTCTGTTAGCGTGTGAGTTTGATCAGTTTGAGGTGCACATTGCTTTTTCAGTATGTGGAAATGGAAGTGAATGCCTTTTAAAGTGTTGCAGTTTGTTGTTTACAAAGTTGTCATCAATGCTGAAGTGCCAGTGAGTGCTGGAGACTTCCCTAAATGTATTTACATATTTCTAAAGGTTTTGGGTGTGGTGTGTGTTTCCTGCAGCAGCCATAACTGTCATTAAACAAAGGTGGTTTTTTTGTAAGTGCTGATATTTTTGTTTGTGTTAATGTTATGTATGTGTCCAGAGACAGCGTGTTGGGGGCATGTTATAGATTAAAAAATAACTTAAATGAACAACTGATATGTATGAACAGTTATTTGTACAAAATCCAGGTACTAATTACAATATTATGGATTAGTATTAGGACCTTCACATTCATACTTTTCTACTTGTAGCCTTCCAGAGGAACGTAGATGCAGGTTAGAGACAGTATCTACATTATGTTTGCTTAGAGAAAAGAGCTAACAGCCTAATGATATGCTATGTAGCTGTCAGGGTTGGTTCAGACAATGCTGCCCATCTGAAGCCAAAGAGCGGCCCCCTGCAGGGGCGGGGTGAGAGGGGAGGAGTTTGTTAAAATGCCCATGCAGTGCCTAATGGTGTGGTGTGGGAGAGATGTCGTGCTGTCAGAGAGCGCTGCAGAGCAGCGTCCCTTGTGGAAATCAAGGCTTTTTCCCCTTTATTATGCACCAGCTGAGGCACATCACAGATTCACACTCTCCCCACTTCCCGAACTAGTTTTACAGGAAAGCTCCCTCCACTATTCCTTTACCCACACACACCTCTAGACATCATGGGTGGCAGGTGAACCCCCCCATTCGGGGAGGCTATCCCCCCGCCCGACGGAGCCCCGAGCGCCCTCCCACTCTGTGGCCAGAAGAGCCTTGGCTGGCCCGCCCCAGCCATGCCAGCTAGCCTGAGCTGCCCCAGCTGCGCCGGCTGGCCAGACCTCCAGGCTGGCCCAAGCTACCCCTGGCCACCGGCCCAAGCCCCGAGCTCAAGGCCGCCAGATGGAGCTGAGTCCCTGCTGGCTTCAGGGGAGAGGGGGAATAAGGGTGGGGCCTCAGGGCGGAGCATGGGCAGGGCCATGGCCTGGGTTAGGGGAGGCTTAGCCTCTCCTGGCCTTCGATACCCGCCGCCCATGCTAGACATCCCTGTTATCCAGGACACCCTGCTTATTCTCTCCCACACGCACACATTGCCACCTACCCCTATTCAGTGCTTAATTTGTGCCAGGACTTGCAGTTCACCGCCCTGGCACCTCTGGACTTGCCGCATCAGTTACGAAAGTAAAAAAATGGTTTGAGCCCCGGCACCTCTATCATTACAAATTAAGCACTGCCCCTACCCCTAGAACTGAATGTATGCCGCTACCCAATCATAAGTGCATGAGGCAGGTGGGAGGTTGGGGAGAAATTGCACGCTGGGCCTGATTCTCCTCTCACAACACCGTAAACCAGGAGTAGCTCCGCTGAAGTCAATGGAGTTACACTGCTCTAAACTTGGTGGGAGTGGAGTATCATGCCTACTGCTGAGTTTGGGGCCTTGCAGCTCAGGGCCCAAATAAATGGCTTTGCAGCTGGGGTCCCAACTTTGCTTGAACCTGCCCTGCCAGATGTAGTTGAATGATTAGTAGCTCCAGCTTTACCGAGACTGCTTTGACTGTTAATTGAGAGTGATGGTGTTTTCAGTGGTTTTAGACAGCTCCCTTTTCAAGTTTCATCTCTATCAATTATTTGCTACTAAATGCATCCTTTGTGAAAGGCACTAAAGTGTTTCTAAAGACAACTCTATTTCCCTGTAGTGTGGGATAGATTCTGCCAAGGTTTTCCACACAGGCTTTTAATCATTTAACAGTCACTGCTTGATCATAAGTTTCTGTTTTAAGTTTCTGCTGTACACATGACATTTGTACGGTGCTCTTGCCATTCGTTAGAACAATGGAACCAGTCCTGCAGCTGTGATACAGGCATAACTCCTGAACTGATAGGAGTATTGCCTGCATGAGGGCTGCAGGAACTGATCACTATGTGAATTAACATTTCTTAAAATAATTCCTGATTGGCCTTCTGAATAGGTTTCCAAACCTGCCATGTTACAGAAAATATCCCAGGCAAAAGGAAAACACAGTAGCTAACTCTGATTTTCTCTCTCTCTTGCATTGTGGCTGACAGGAATGTGTTTCGTAAGCTGCTTGCTCAGCCAGAGAAAGAGAAGAGTGATATTCTGTCCCTGGAGGAAATACTGGCTGAGGGAACTGACTTGGCAGATGCTGCACCAGCTCCTTTGTGCGCCAGCCGCAACAGCAAGGCCAAACTGAAAGCACTGAAAGAAGCCATGTACCACAGCGCCGAGCATGGATATGTGGATGTCACTATTGACATAAGGAGCATAGGTCAGTCTTGATGTCATCTGCACTTTACCTCCCATGAGAGACAACTGTCATGTATGTTTTGGTGGGAGCAATGCCTGTCACTCCCACTGACCACATTTGAATGTTCCTGAGTTTTTATGAAAGCAATAATTGGGGGACTTTCACATGTGTGTGGGAATGAAGAATGGGGGAGGTGAGTAAGTCAGTGCAAACTGGGTGTAAAGCTGTGACTCTTGGAGGGTCCATTGAGTCAGTTTTGTTTTAATGCCGAGGAGCCACGACTGACTAAGATAATCTTCCCTGCATGGCATGTGTGTTGCTTTTTTCTTCACAATCATGTATGCCACACATCACAAAATGTGGCAAATCTCGTATACATTTAGACAGGTTTCTTTCTGTAATGTTCCGTCATGAATGGAATCGGAGTGTCAGCCACCTACTCCAATTTGGTGTACTCAAACAACATTTTTCAGATGCACATTAGGCAGTTGGGTGTAAGTCACAGAGCAGGACCTACTTGCAGCTGTAGTCACCCCCTCACATGGAGGTGCTGGAGAGCTGATAGACCAGGCCCTTTCAGCCCCAGTTCTTGGTAGAATGCCAGACACACTATGACTCATTCGTTAAAAATGCTTCAGTTGCTCGGCTTTGTAGGCTCTGGCACGTGGTGGTTCCCAATAAGCACTCTGATGCCTGACTCAAAAGAAAGGATGATTTGCTAGGGAGGGCTCACACCAGCAGGCTTCTTCACCTCTGCTTAGCTAGGTGTCCATCTAAAACATCAGCTCTGGGGCAGCCGTTCCAGTTCTCCATGCACCAGCTCTCAGAACCACCCATCTGCTTCCAAACACCACGCTCCTCCCAGCACCAACCTCCCAACTGTCACAGAACCTTCCCCCTTTTACTGCTTGCAACCCTCCCGGGGGAGAAAGGCAGTGAATTTGCTCAGCACACTAATCACATAGCTCTACGGCCCTTTCAAACACCCTCTCCAGGGCCAGTCAATCAGTGCTCAAGGAAACCATTTTGTTCCGGTTGTTGACTGTTTTACCACATGTGTTAATCAGTGCTCAGTAAGAGGCCAAAAGACTTCTGCTGCCAAACATGCTTCTGAGCACCATATCCAAGAACACTGAGTCTTGGAATCCTGTCACATGGATCATGATTTCCACTCTGAGTTACAACCTATAACAGGTTTGCATAAACACAAAGGGATGGAATGGTTGTGCAACTGGTCTAGCAAAGCACCTCCTACTAAGTGAATGTGAAAGGATCTCATGGCAGTGGGAGAGTTGGACTCGAGATCCTGTCCTCTTGTTGGGGTGGAGGGGAGTAGTGGGTATGTAGCACCTATGAGGACCCAAGGTCCGGGGTGTGGACAGGAGAGAGGAGGGGTATATTTCCTCTCACACTCTTCTGCAAATGTAACCCATTGGTGAGTGTGTGTTACAGGTCCCACACTGTGCCGATCCCCAGAGGATATGAGTTGTTACAGCTCCTTAGTTAAAGAGGCTTGACTGTTTAGTTCAAGCTGTAGCAGTTTATGCTTTTAATTCTGGAAGTCACCAGTTTAATCCCTGGTGTCAGCCAAGATAATGGCCATCACGCAGGCACGTAGGCTGGTCTACAATCCATTCCTTGATGACTATGATTTGGACTAATTTGTCTGTCTTCTACTACTGCATGTTTTATTATTTAGTGTGTGGTAGCAATTTCTTTTACATTCTTAAAGTGCACTTCTGCTCTGACAAGTAACTGTGTAAAAACGGGACCTTCTTACCCACCTGATGTTGTATCAACATAAGTGAGGATGCATGCCTTGGAGGAGTGATGAGGGGGATATAAACATTTTCCTTTCCAAGTCACTGGTTTAAATCCAGCCAAAGTTGGCAGTGACTAAATGTCACTATCTGATGGCTCTTTGGTAGCCCACTGCAAATGAGTGCGGTGGCATAAATCTAGTTCCCAGATGAGGTCCACATCAGAAATCACCACTGCAGTGTACACTAATTGGCTCAGCAGCGAGGCTAAATAATATTACTTAGCTCATATATAGCACTTTTCATCAGTAGCATAGGTGCTGACTCCGTGGGTGCTCCGGGGTTCAAGCACCCACTGAAAAAAATAGGGGGTGCTCAGCACCCATGAGCCACCAGTCGGTGGCAGGAGTACTTACATGATGCACAGTGAAACCAGAAGGCACAAAGCACCCACTGGCAAAACCAAAAGTCAGCACCTGTGATTAGTAGGTCTCAAAATACTTCACACTCTGCAATAAATGTATCCTTCCAACACCCGCTGTGAGGTGGGGAAGTGCTATTATCCCCATTTGATAGATGGGGAACTGAGGCACACTGAGACTAAGTGACTTGCCTGAGGTCACACAGGAAATCTGTGGCAGAGCAGGGAATTGAACCTGGGACTGAACTACCTTCTTATACTGGGAGGTGTGTCCCTGCAGATAAGGATTGAGGCATATTGATGGGCAGCACTTGTAGGGTAAATAGGAGGCCAATTTCTAGGGCTTTCAATTTGGCACCGTTCACAAGCCCTAAAGTCACACAATTAAAGAATAAATTAACTACGCCTCATTCTGTGATGGTCTGGAATATACACCCACCTTTAAAATTCATCTTTTTGTACAGGAGTTCCATGGACGCTACATACATGGTTGGAGTCTTTGCGAACTTCCTTTCAGCAGCACAGAAGGCCTCTCATCCAATGCTTGTTAAAGGAATTTAAATCCATTCAGGAGGAAGAGTACACTGAGGAGCTCATCACACATGGGTTGCCTTTGATGTTTGAGATACTGAAAGCAAGTAAGGTATGAGAAATTGTGGATTTTGAAGAAATTAACACAACCTCCACACACACACCAAAATCCCTACAATATTACACAGCTCTCCTGAAACTCATTACACTGCGTGAGATTTTCTATATTTGTTTCCTGGTTTGCAAGTGCAGATGTGTGGGTTAAAAAAAAAAAGACAGCTATATACATCTATTGCTAGGACAGCTTAATACTGACACGAACAGTGAGCTGGAGAGACAACAGAAGCTAAAGCCTAGTGGTAAAATTAAAGTCACAAGGGTCAGTGTAGTACAGCAAGAGATGTTGATAGCTGAGTCAACCAAGGTTAGTATCTCTCTCTAGTTTGCTTTCTAGGGCCATACAGCAAGGCTAATATTCATATTTCCTTTGGATTTCTTGAGCCAGTTTTCAGATCCAAATATTATCCTCTCACAAGCCTTTTTGCCCCCCCTGTGGAAGCTTTGTGGGGACTTATACAACCCCACAACCTATTTAGGTCAGAGAATATCTATTTCTTTCCCTTTGAAAACCAGTGGAAAAAACCTTCCACTGTCTTGGTGGCCTAATGTCCAATGCTGCCCCCCTCCAATATCATTCCTTCAATCTGACCTTTTCTGACCCAGACAGCCGAGCTTTTAGTGAGGTACATACAAGTATTCAGCTAAAATAGAGCTGGGGCAGGTGTCCAGGGAAAGTGGAAATATCTTCCCCCAATGAAGGCTGGATATTTTCTTTTCCAACTTGATTCAGCCAAAATTAGCTCCCCTGCTGCTCCCATTGACTTCAAAACACAACCAAGTCCTCCCCAGAAAGCCCCAATCAAGCGTAATCTATTACTGACAAGAAGCAAGTATTTTAGTGGCCAAATTGAGAAGCAGCAGGAGTCTAGTATCAAAAATATTTGCTTATTATTTTAATGCTGTATTATGATACACATTAATAAGGCCCCCGTTGCTTGTTTAGCATGAGAGTGAATAACATTTCCCACCTACCTCCTGAACACCAATGTAGGCAGCATATAATCTGCAGCAGCAATTTAGTTCATGTTAAAAGGCAAAGGTTTTGACCTACTCACTGAATACGAAAAGATTGTGGAACTAGCAGTTAGTCGGAGACCTAGACACAGATGTTTCTTACATTCCACTCCAAAAGTGGCCAGGGCTTAGGCTCAAATAGGAATGAATTCCAGGGGCGAGGGCCTGTTATTGAAATCATCCTGCCCCTAGCTCCTATGAATTTTAATTTTGAAATTAGTTTATGCTGGATAGGTATCTGTGGAGGATTCTGGAAATAGCTTTGAGGAAATTATTTTAAATCCTGGAACGTGTGGACCCCTCAACGGGCCTAATGCATATTTATCCACCACTGGACAGCAAGTTGCTATTCTGTTTGAAAGATGAAATAAAACTAATTGGACTGTAACCTTTACACGGATTATTTAGGAACTTTAATCTGGGATGAGGGATACGATAAATTGTTGTTTTCTTGAGTGACTACAGCCAAAGCCAGTGGTTTTCCTGTGGGCAGCTTTAAAATAATTTATTTAGACAGAATTATACCCCTCTGATATGTCAGAATAGGTCTTCAGGAGTCTCTATCGTGTAGGAGGCATTGTAGCAAAGCAGAGCCAGCTTGTTCTGCTTTGGGTTCACTTTAAAGCCAAACTGCTGCGGGTGGGGGGGGACAACTGAAATAGCAGAAAAAGCCAGTAAGATAGAAATTCCATGCTATCCAACTTGCCTCCACACTATATGTTGGGGATTGGTCCTGCTGTGAGCAGGGGGTTGGACTAGATGACCTCCTGAGGTCCCTTCCGACCCTGATATTGTATGATTGTGTTATATATACACACATATCATTTCATATTCTTAACTGTACAGTGAATCATTGTGTGGCACTGTAAAGACTTACAAGATGTCTGCCAATGGCAAGAATTATTGCCATGGCCTTGTCCAAATGGGCTCTTGTGAACAGCTCCTTTGCAGAAAAAAGGCTAGAACATATACAGTATGTCTAAGGACCTTTGTTTTCAGTGTTCATTTTGTTTACAATTTCTTGGGAATTTATTAGTGTTTATTACAAAAGTTAAAAAATCAATGAAAATCGGTGCAAAAACAAAATCTTAGGAGTTTTCCAGAATAAATATCAGATAGGGTAGATATCACTCTCTTCTGCTTTTGTGTCTTTTTAAACTTTCAGGAAAGCCCCTTTTGTTCTGAAATGTAGTCAGATACAGCTTTTCATTTCCAATCCATTTTAGCAAGAAAAGTAGTTCTCTAACTTCTATTTGCTTTGAATGCTGACAACTATCTGTGCTGTCTGTAAAGCTAGTAACGTGTATGTGGTGGGCATGGGACGGACAACGGAATGTACACCAGCAACTCATTCCGGCAGTTCTGCCCTGGCTTCCAACTCCAGAAGGAGAGATGGGTAGTCCAGGCTGCTGAGCCACCATCTCTCCTTCTGGAGCAGGGAGCTGGGTCTGGAGAGTTCTGGCATTTCCAAAATGTGGGTGAAAATCAGTAAAAACTGAATAATGGCTTTTGTAAAACCCAGGAAAGTTTTGGTAAAACAGAAAATAAAGGGACTTAAGAATATTGGAAGGAAACAAGGAACCTTTAGAAGTTTTCCGGGAGAAAGATCCTACAAAAAGAGCTAAGTTGTCCCTGGTCATGGCGTGGGAGAGCTGTGGGGAAAGGTATTGGTTCAAGGAGCCTCCCACCCCACTTGCATACTCCATACGAGGGCCAGGGCAGAGACTGTTCCCTCCATGCACACCTAGGGATGGAAATCCATACCTAGAGGGGTGGGGAAGGAGCAGGCCTATGGTTCAGATCCTGCCCCCCCCAATTTGTAGAGTCAGGCAGCTGCAGAGAGGGGAGTATGATTTATCCAAAGGAACATGCCCTCCCCTGTGTGCTGTGAGCTCAGGGAGGGATTATGCCTCTTTTGCTAAATACCACAGGCTGGCCCCAAACATTTCCTTATCAAGTGTGGTGGGGAAAAATAAAGGTAAAATAAGTAACCAGCAGACAGAAGTCACTAAAAATGTCTTGGTCGATATAAAATATTACATCCCATATGATGCATATCATGATTCCTGGTGTATTGTACTTGAGTGACAATTTATATTTAAGTGTAGCAACACTTTGTACTTCTATTAATAGTTCCATCCATCCAGTAATTTCAGTCATTGATGAATTGAGCCTCATTATCCCCCTGCGAGATAGGACAATCTTATCCTTGTTTTACAAATGGAGAAACTGAGGCACAGAGAGGCATGCAACCAAATGTTCACCCTGGGGAGCTGCAGGGTGCTCTACACCTCTAAAGGTCAGGCCCAGGCTGTCTAAAGTTGGGCACCTAGACGTTGAAGCACCCAAGATCAGTGGCCACTTATTAAAAATGAGGTCTACGTGACTTTCCCAGAATCACGGGGACAGAGCCATGAAAAGAAATGGGTTTGGTTACTCCCATTCTTGTACTTTAGCCACAAGACCTTCCTTGCCCTCACACAAATTGAGCTGCTGCATGAGGAAACATTCCTAGAAGTTCCCAAGCCGCCTAGAGTTTGTCTACACTGCACAGTAAGCCCAGGACAGTGGGAACTGGGCTTGTGAGCTTGGTGTTTAAACCTGTCCTTAAGTGTCCACACTGCATTGTAAATCTGGGTTTGCAATTGCTGGACCCAGGTCTCACAGCTGTGCTAACACATCCATACTACACTAGGCAGACTCGGGTCTATAGCTTGACTTGCATCCACACTGCAGAATGTCAGAACTTGGACCTGCATCCCTCTGGGACTCTGGCCCACTCCCTAGCAGGATCCAGATTTTAGGAACCAGATGCAAACATTCCTATGGAAAGTTTGCAGTAAGGCAGAACTGCTGTCAGGGTTTGGCTGGCTGGCTGGTTGCAGTTGGCATTCTCTGCTCCCCTTTAAATGCTGAAATGCTGCTGCTGAACACAGACAGAAAAACATATTTTTGGAAACTCCAACTTTGGAACAAAGTATGGAAACAAAAACTAGTAAATCAGGCAAGATGGGGGTGTGCGGATGAGCGGAAGTCCTAGATAACATTACCTCTCAGAAAGTGAAATCATGGGAAGAACAGTCAGTACATTTTTAGCAAATGTACTGAGACAATTGGGGGAAGATTTCCAAGGCACAAATGGAAGTTAGACACCCAGCTCCCATTGACTTTCAATGGGAGTTGATCTTCTAATTTCTCTTTATGGTTCTAAGTATCTCCCCCCTTTTAGCAAATGCATAATCCAGTGATATTTCCATGCTTCTGAGACAGAAATATCAGAATGCACAGATCATTCATGTGTCCAGCCCTGAGGGGGAATGCTGGCAGTCAGCATGAACCCTTCACCAGGCCAGGAACAAGATGTACTAGAGAAGGCAGTATCACTAAAAAGGATGAGGAGAACTCAGAGAGAACAACCACGGTTTAAAGGACAATTTGTAAGAGAGCTACTATAACCAGCAAAGCTTGTGACACTAAACCTATCAGTAAAGTAGTGGTCTGCCAGAAGACTTGGTCCTTTGGATGAGGAAAAATGTTGCCATTTTTGGGAAAAATGAGACTCTTAACCAGGCAAATTCGTGTCCAGCCACTAGAGTGGTTTACAGACAGAAGTAGAAGACAGTAAGGCGATAACTCCAGTAAGGAGCTATCAGCCCTGAGATGAGCTTTAGATGCTATATAGAGCAGAAAGCAGAGTTTTGACCCCTCTCAAGGTATTGGAGATCTTGTTATTGCAGAAGTAGAAGAAGAGAGAAAGAGATGCCACTGAATTATTGTATGTCGACTTCTGTGCTGTGTGGTTCAAGACCCAAAGAAAATTCACAAAACTTCTCATTGAAACCTCTGTTGTCCAATAGAAATGGGTGTTTATGTAACGCAAAACTGGCTTTGGATTATTATTCTGCCCTGTTACAGAATATGTGCATTCCTCCAGTCTGTGCTAAAACTGTCTCCATGAAGAGACTTTTCTTTGTTTCT